TGCTTGGGCACAGACTAAAATACAGAAAATTCTGTTTAAATGTAAGCAGAAAAATTTTACTGCAAGGATGAACAAACATTGGAAGAGGTTGCCTAGAGAGGTGGTGGAGTTTCCATTTTTGGAGATATTCAAAACCTGACTGGGCATGGCCCTCAGCAGCCTGCTCTACCTCATCATGCTCTGAGTAGGGGAGTTGGAGGTCCCTGTGATTCTGTCAAAAATCTGAGAGAGATGGCTCTTTTGCCTGCCTAAATCCTGACGAATAGCCCAAAACATCCGATGTCCTCAAAGTGGGAAGTAATCTAATATGAGAGTCAGGGAAAAATAAGAGCCATAGCTGCTGAACTTCCAGGGTTTTGAGTAATGTGCAAGCTAAAGTTGAATAAATTAGTAGAAACATTTAAAATAGTGTAGCTTGTTTTATCATGGTACTCAGACTGGCTTATTTTTTCTGTTTTTCAACATATTCAGTTGCTTCTTAGATCACATTATACAGTTGTTTGGAACGTTTTCAAAATCCTAATGCTGTTGAGATGTAGGTGTTGTGACAGAAGCAAGGAGTAATAGAATCGTACTATTTTTATTCAAGTGCCAAGTAATTAAAGAGAGAAATTGCCAACGCTTCCCTGTTACACTTTAGTTCAACCACTTTGTATCCAGAATCAGTAGTGCAGTAACTGGCTGAAAAAGGATTAGTGATTGCAACCCTAGCTCTCAATTAAACATAGAAAGGATTCACTCTTACACCCCACCATTAAGGTTCAAGTAAACGGGGATTTGAACCAACAGTATTTACAAAGCTGATAACAATTCTTGTGCAGAAACTAGGAAAGAATATAATTCATAAATAATGTGATGTATCCAGAAATGCAGTGGAAAACTGGAAATTTTAGAAAATGGAAGGAAAATCTGTCTCAAAGTGGCGAAAGTGTAAAGTTAATGCCTCATGCAACTATATGGATGGATTGCTTCTTGTCTAGTATATCCAAAGACTATTCCTGATGCCAAGCACTTAAATTTGGGTTCTCAATGATTTGAAAGTCCATTGTGGTTTAACTTTCTTGTTTAGATAGGGACCAATTAGTAAATGCAGGCTAGGATTGACTGTGCCACAGAATAAGTTAATATGGCTTAAGTATAGACTGTAAGGTGTACTTACCTTTGGCACAGCAGTGTTTTTTTTTTTTTTTTACTGGTGGGGGAAAAAGAAAACATCTGCTTCATGAAATGCAGTTGAAAAGAAATGGTGACTTACCTCTGCGATGGAATGCAAGTGTATCTTTTCTCTATGATCTGATCATCTCCATGATCAGATACAGTTGGGAATAATTCCACATCAGAACATGTGATATCCACTTACAGAGAGAATTATCAGAACTATTACTTGGCATTTGTTGTGGACCTTGTAAGGGCTAGACCTACCAAGGACTGCTGTGGGACTAGTAAAGATTTAGGATAGCTGTTTTGCTGGGAAAGAGAATAGCCAGGGGCTTTATCTGGGTAAAAGCAGCTCTGCCCTGTTGATTCACAGTGCTAGCAGATAGAGCTGTGTTAGTGTTGTGCACTGAAAATGGATACAGCTGAACAAAACCCTCTTCTCTCCCCATACTGGTATGTGCTAGATTTTACCAGCACTTACAAATTTCTTGTGTCACTATTACTGATGTAATTGTATTAATGGAAACACAAAATTAAGGATGTAGTCTGTTTCCCCTTGTTAAAGTGGAGTTTATATCTTCATGTTTATCATTGCCATAAATGTCTGAGATAACCAGCATTTTACCGTTAACCTTTTTGAAATATTAATCCTGATATCCAGTCTCTCTCATGTATGAGCAGTTTTTCTTTAAAATCTCAAAAGTTGTACAGACTGGGATCTAAATGAAGATTAGGCTATGTGAAAACAAGTTCTTATTTACGGTTTTTGCATTTGTAGCAACTGATCTACGAATAGTGTTTGTTACGTATCAACATTTTAGCACTCACAACTGTTTCTTGATAAGAATTAAATCTGATTTTGGAATGTTTAACATTTAATGCTCATGTTATTAGTAATTAAAGGACTGCTATGAGTTACGTATACATTACAGATCATTGCCTTTCTTTTTAGTGGCATTTTATAGCAATCCCGTATTTTTGTGTTTTCCTCAGGCTTATCTCTACGGCGGCATAGTTTTCTGGGTGAAGAAAATAGGTACCATAATTTACCTCTAGCTTCAGTTTTCAAAGTACATAAAAAACACTATCTCTTATAACTGATAGTTCTATTATGGCTATTGCTATGTTGACCAGATTGTACTGTCTAAAGTATGTGGGATTTTGCATATAGTTTCTGTTTGTCAGAGGGGAGATGGTAAACCACAGTATGGATATCCAAAATTGTCTATTTTTAAAATTTATTAAATTTATCAATCACAGTGTGCCTTAACTATGCTGATAGCAAACATATATTATCATCAAGGTCTGTTTCTTTTTATCAGCAAAGCACAGCCCATGATGATATTCCACAAGGCACGATGCATTCAAAATTTACAATACGTTTGGCTGAGAAGATCTGGTTCTCAGAAGTAACGCAATATACAGTTCAGAATTCTGATATCTGTACTAGCAATAGAAGTGTAATAAATGCTGCAGAATAACAATTTACATGCACATCATTCTTTGGAAAAGGATTTTGCTAGCATTATACTCATTTATATTCTGTGGAATGGGCTGAATTGGCTCTACTGAACTGAATATTATGTGTGTTAGTTTTGTGTCAGGTAATTCCTACTCAGATCGGCACTTGAGGAAAACAAGATGAACACCTGAATCTGCTTTAAAACTCATTTATTAATGACTTATTAGAGGCCTTTCAAATTTCTTTTAGTTTATATCATCAATAGTAAAATTCCAAGGGGTTTTCAGACATCTATAAGACAGCCCTGCTTTCTTCTCTATATGCCATCTAGTTAGAACCCATTTCCTGAAAAGAATATGGGAAAGGGAACAAGAGGGTTACAAATCCTTGATTATTCTTTACAAAACTTATTTTCAAAAGGATTATTTTTGTTCTTGTAGTGACTGCAGATGTGATAACCAGGTATTCTCTGCTTGTGATCTGCTTAGAACTGGTTTTCCAAATAGTAAGTGTGAAAGGGACTAGATAGATTTAAATCCTTCATAATTTATTTTCACTCCCAGTTTAAGTTGCATTGCTCTGGTTTTTGTAATAACTGAAGATGATGCAGCATGTTTATGGTGCAGTCTATCTTTTCCACAGGAAGACCCCAAACAGGTGATCATATCTAGAAAATAGGTGGCATTGATTCGTCACCCTTATTGGATAATACCTTAAAAACCTTTAAGCAGAACCTGCTGGTTCTGGGTGGTAATATTTGATAATATATCAGCTGGGTGGTAATATTTGTGTCTTCAGATTAAATCCCTAATGAGAAATTTCAAAGAGGTTGTTCTAAACTGATATTTTAGAATACTTTTAGAATGAACACCAATATGTAGGTGTGTGGTAATCATGAAATACAGGCTTTGCACCCCACCCCTGAATTCTCCCTAAGTGTCATGTATACAGTTATCAATGGTTAGAGCTGGAGTTATGGCTTTCCAAGGAGAAACTGAATAAGGAGAAGGATCTTCGTATTTTAAGGGTAGGTTGCACTGACCTTAGCTTGAGTTATAGAGCATTACTTTCACTAACTATTTACAGGTAAACTGTACCCAAAACTGTATCTTTTAAACAGAGATTGCTAAACTGAGGTCTGTGGATCGCTGGTAGTCTGAGAGTTATCAGGTTGTCATACAGCTATCAGACCTATGGAATCCCTGCTGAAAGTTTGGTAAGAGGCAAAGTGCGAAATTCTGCGAATCACTTCCTTACTTTGTATGTTTTCTGAACTTGTCACAGTATCTCCTGCAGCTAATTACTTATTTGAGACCTACAGTGATATTTAGAATAACCTGTGGGACGGGGTCTAAGTAAACCCAAATTATGGCAGGTTCACAAAGTTGGCAAAACTTAATCAGTCTAGAAGTTAGTAGCAATTGTCACATGATTATAGCATGCAGGATCTCACTGCATGAAATTTTGGCCCATCAAAAAGTTCATAGCCTAATCTAAACAAGGGTTTAAAAAAGTAGTGTTTGTGTAGTAAGTATTATTTACAATGTGATAATATCATATCTTGAACTCTACTCAAGACAGATCCCGAAACATAAGTTTAGAATACATCTTAATACATCTTAATATATTCATTAGCTAGCAACAATGTTCAATAATAGGCAAGCATCTTAAAATGGAATTTCCCTCAACTCCATAGAAATTGGTGGTGTTAATATGGGAGAGAATTTCACAACAATACTGTTTACTGTGCCTCTTTTAAGGTAAGCTACATGATTTACATTAAAACATTTTTTAAAGCAAAATACAGTTGCATGTCAAAAAGAACTGCAACATTTAAATTGCTGAGATGTGATAGGACAGCTCATATGACTAGAGTGCTGCAATGGATGGATACAAACTCTTCAGGAAGGAAGAGCAGGGAAGATGAGGAAGAGGAAAGGGAGAGGTCAAGGAGCAGCTCAGATGTACATAGCTCTTCTGTGAGATGCATAAGTTGAGATATGTGGGTCAGGAGCAGAGGGAAGGCCAGTAAGCAGGCCCCATTGCAGTGGGATTTTGTTACAGACCACTTGATCAGGGTGAAAAGTGGGTGAAACGTTCTTTAAACAACTCGAGGAAGTCTCTGGATCACAGACCCTGATTCTCATGAAGGACTTGCACCTCTCTGATATCTTCTGGAGGGGCACCATGATGGGACACAAACAATCCAGATTTCTGGAGGGTGTCAGGGATTAATTCTAGATACAGGTAGTAGATGGGCCAACCACACGTAAAGTGCAGCTGGATCTACTATTCACAAACAATTGAGACTGCGGTAATCAATGACGGAGTGCATGCTCTTTAGGTTTGCAGATGACATCAGTTTGGGGGAACAGTCAAAATGCTTGAGGGCAGAGCAGCCATTCAGAGGAATATTGACAGGCTGGAGGAATGGGCCAAGAGGAACTCGATGAAATTCAACAAGGAAAAATACCATGTCCTGCACCTGAGAAGCAAGAACCCCTTGCGGCAACACAGACTGGGGCCTGACTGCCTGGGGAGCAGCTTTGCTGAAAACGTCCAGAGGGAATTGGTAGATGGCAAGCTGGGCATGAGTCGGCAGTGTACCCTCTCATCAGAGAAGGCCAGCAGCCTCTTGGGCTGTACTGCACAGCCAGTAGTTTGAGAGGAATGATTATCCCCATCTCTTCAGAACTTGAGGGACAGTTTGCAGAATACTGTGTCTACTAGATTTAGGTCTCCCAATTCAAGAAAGGCGTTATCAAACTGGGGTGAGTTGAGGCAGAGGGCCCCCAGAATGGTCGGGGGCACTTGCTCTGTGGGGAGTGGCTAAGGGAGATGGGCTTGTTCAGCCTGGTAAAGAGAATTCTTTTGGGAGTATCTGGGGAGGTCATTGAGAAGACAGAGCCAGGCTTTTCACAGTGGTGCATTATAGGAGGATGAGGGGCATAAACTGAAACAGGAGAGGAATGGAATAAAAGGAGAAACCTTTTCCCATGAGGACAGTCAGGCTGAGAAAGAGGCTGCCTAGAAAGGTTGTTTGGTCTCCATCCTTGGAGGTTTTCAAGACCCAGCTAGATCCAAGCCTTGAGGAAGCATCTCTCACCTCAAAGCTTTGCACAGGAGATTGGACTAGATACCTCAGGTCCCTTCCAGTATTAGTTATGCTATGACTCTATGATCTTATGATCGTTAGTGAATATGCAAATAGTAACCAACTACTCCTTATTTTTCAGTTCAGTTTGAATGTCAAACTTACTTGGTAACTAAGAATCAGTAGAAGTAAAAAGAGTGTTTTAAACAATTAATTGTTCTCATAATGAAAGATGCCTTTCCTTTAACAGAACAGCTCAGCTTCAGTATAGGAGGTATAGTTCACTAGAACTAGACTTGCGAGGTATAAATTGTAAAACATGAAAACATTTTAAGGTTTTCATTCTCACATACATCTGTAAGACATGCTAGAAAGTTCTGTTAACAGCACTACTTATAGTAGGCAAAACTTGATCTTAGGATCCATCTAGGCATTGCACAAATGAGTTAAGTGTGGGTGGAGAGAAATCCTTTTCTTCTGTCTTTAGACAGTTCCTTGAGCTGTTCCCTGAATGTAAATGTACAATTTGCATTGTACTAGCGACTTAGGCATACTAAGTAAATAGTACATGTGTATTTTCCATATAAACATATCTCAGCTTTAATGTAGTTACATGTGGCAGCTGGTCACATGGTAGTACTATGAAGAAATGAATATACCGTCAATGCCACTACAGTGGAAATAGTCTGAGTTCAATCAGTGTAATGAGAATAATGAACTTCACTGGATATGCGTACCCTTACCTTGTACTCGCAAGCATTCTAAAGTGATCTGAAAATAGTCGTATTACAAGGAAACAACAGAGGATCTTTACAAGATATGGAATGTCTTCATCTGGCATCTTTCTATATACTTAAAAACTCAATTGTGAGAAGAAAGCACTGAGGGGAAATGACTGCTTCCATAACGGAAAAAAAAAAAAAAATTACAAAAGAATACTGGTTACTCACCTCTGAAATCATAGATAATCTTAGATTAAGGCACTTTATCTTTTCATCATATTCACTTAGTTATTTCTGAGGGAAATATGGGAATATGTATATGTAAATTATTAACAATACAATGAATAAGCTTTTACTGAAACGTGAAAATAAAATACAAATGGCATGGACGTTTTGCAGTTGGGACTACTGCAAAAGGACTTTATCCTCCTTTCATGGTTTAACACTAATAGGAAAGGTTTTAGGATTCTTGTGCAGTTCAGCAAACTGATTCCTTCTGAATACCCCTGAAAGGGAATGGTATTGCTGAGAATCTATGGGGAAAAGATACTCAAATTGTACATTGTAGACAGAAATTTTAACATTTTAACAGCTCTAATCCCCCTATACACTTTCTATTATTTCCGCAAGCTTTAATGATAAAGGCAGTGACTCTAAACTATTTTTAATGTGGAAAAGCATTATTTATGCTCTCTGTTCTTTTATTTTGTTCTTCTGTTCTCCTTGCATTTGATATAGTATAAAATAGCTCTAAATTAAATTGGTACAAAAGCACTTTGCAGCTAAAGAATAGAAGCAAACCTTAAAAGGTCAAAGACTCACCATGAGAATACCATGACTTAGCTTAGAATATTCTCATATTTACAGCAACACTCACTTTTATAAACTTCTAATTTATTTTGGCCAGGAAGGCTTAGTATTATATTTGTAGTCCTCACTGCTGATTTATCACCAGCATTGAATACTACTTTACATCTTCAAAACATTTTTTTAAAATATTAATTCTAACTGAAACTCCACTCTCAACTCGTAAGCCTGATGTGGACTTCCGTTTTTCAGGACTTGTGTAAGTTTGTAGTCTAAAATATGACACAGTCTCCTCCCTTCTGGTCTGTATTCACATTTCCATCCCTTAGTTACCAGCGATACCAATGGAGGGTGATATATACTTGGGCTGGAAACACATCTGGATTTGAAGGTGCGCAGTGCTCTCAAACCTCACGTTTTAAACATAACAAGGTCTGCATAGTGTCTTATAAAATGGATCTATCGGTGTTTTTTTTTAGAAGGTGCTTTCTGGATAGAATAAGTATATATGTACACACACACTTATATGCATATACGCACAGCTGTATACATATATTTGGACAAATAAGACTACCTGGTAAAGGTAGGTTCTTTATTAGAACATCAGCTACTTTTCTGTGGTTTTCTAGCATTGCAGAGCTTGGTCAGAGCCAAATAAAAAAAGACAATTTGCTAACAGTAAATTATTTCACTTGGGTGTAGTTTAAATCATAGGAAAATCCCTTAGTTTTTTACTGAAAATCCTAGCCTGCCTTCAGTGTCCTTTGAAATGTAAGGATCGAACTCTCCCACTTCCTGGAATACTCATGGATGTAAGAGTTCAATGTGTAAACTTTTAGAGCAATAGGCTGTCATTTTGAATGAATACAAATCTGTTACAATCTATGTTTGTACACTCTCAGTGGAAACATGTGGTGTCAGCTGTGCTCACAATACTTTAAAGGTTTTATTAAGTCAGCTGGCAACACACCCTATCTCCAGGCATTGAATTTTATGGCAAAAGAGCTAAGAGACTGAACACTTTTTTTTCCTCTCCTTTTTCATGTCAACTAGCTTCCAACCACATGAACTGATTTTAAAAAAAGCTTATGGGTGTGTTGCTATGTTGTTAATAGCCACAATGTAGTTTATAGGTGAGCATTTATGCCCACCCACACAGTCTTAAACATACACAGGCACACATTGTCAAGTACCTTTATGCAGTCTGGTATAAACTCCATTCAAATTATTACTTTTGAGTAAAAGAGAAACTATACAGAATTTATAAATATAAAAAAAATCTTTATTAGGTGAGGCAGTTATATGAAAGGAGACTATGCAAAACTGCGGAGGTTCTGGACTGTACTGCACACTAAAAATCCATAGACTTTCCCTGCAGAAGCCTTTTAAGGACTGTACTTATTGCTTGCTTTAATTTAGACAAAATTGTTTAATCAGTAAATGTTTGTAAATTAGTTTGCTTAAGTCATGTTTTGAGAATCAGTTGTTCAAAGACCGAACTTCTCAGTGACATTCAGAATCTTTTCTCTTGCAGCCATTTCGTAGAGTGACGTTTTCTGTTGTGAGTCAGCCTCAGGACCCACATCAAGGGTCATTGCAGAGCTGCTATGACAGCGGTCTGGAGGAGTCAGAAACACCAAGCAGTAAGAGTTCATCAGGGCCAAGACTGGGTGCCCTTCCACTCCCAGAGGACAACTACGAAAGGACTACGCCGGATGGCAGTGTTGGTGAGGCAGAGCATATGGAAAATGGTAGGGGCAAACACGACATTCACACACATAATCACACTAGCAAGTGATACTAAGTAGATTTTTGGAAAGGTCAGTCCAAAAATTTAATAAATATATTAAATAGTTTAAATTGTAATTATTTTATTTTAAAGTTTGTTAAAATGAAGATATACAAAATAATGGAACATAACATTCCTAATAAAACCAACACTTTATTTCTTTACATGTTTTTAAAATTATACTGCAGAAGCAATTAAAACATTGAAAAAAAAATTCCAGTAGAGGACTGGGAAAATGGTAATTTAATTAAATATCAGTCCTCTTTTTAGACAAAGGACCATAATGGACATCTATTTTCTTTTTCTTCCTTTTTTTGGATCAACAGCTATTTAGGAAATTTCCCAGAATATAATATGTACAGCATCAGTAAAAAGAAAGTAGGATTTAAAAAACCCACACTAGAGAATTCCCTTTCTCCCCAAAACATTACACAGACTGTTTTCAAAATAACACTGAGTGTCAATTTAATATTTCATTAGTTAGACTCGAGAAACATTAGTGTCCTTTTTTTTCACACTTTAATAGGCACAAGACATCTCCTTTAAATTCACATTCCATTTATATAGAAGGGGAAAGCTGTGAATTCTTATTTATTGTATGAGTGATTCTTCAAAAATTACAAAATTGTGATAATTTAAATCTTAATTTTTGTTTTCCTTTGTATCTAAAATTATTTAGAAAATTTAAAAATCATTTCCATTTGAAATGTATTTCATGAATCCTGAATGATTTACTGCCCTCCACTTATTAGCCTTCATCTAAAGTCTAATGAAGTTAGATATTGACTTCATTGTCTTTAGATTTGCCCATAAACAGTAAAATAGATTATTGTATGTCAAATTGTACAAATTTTTTAACAAACAATGAAATAATGGGTTTGTTAATCCAATTGGATAGGTGGGTATACGTAAGAAGGGTGGTGTATTTTCTGGTAGAGAATGAATGAATTAGTTTGGTTAAGTACATGTTTTAGCTTTTTTCAGAGATTACAGCAGTGGATAACTATTTTTCATTTTTTGTCTTTCCTGAAATAGACATGTTGACCAAATAAAAATATATTATTCTCCATGGTAAGATAATGCTAAATCTAGTATATATGACTGAAGAAAGGCTACAGCAGTCTGCATTTGCTTATAATGCCTATTCCAAAAGCAAATGCCTATTTCAAATCATGCATATGGGTTGATCAAAAAGGAAAATGGTATTATCCTTCTAAAAATAAGATATATTAGGTCATATGTGTGTATAAGTGTGTGTATATATTTGATACCCAGATGTTTGTATGAATATATCTTTTTATTTTTTCTTTTTCTGGGTGGGTAGTAGGGGAGAGAGTAATATTGTTGTTATCCGGAAGTGTCAGAAGACGTTTGTGGAGGTTATTTATTGTCTACTTTGCAGTGAGATTTTATAGTTAAGAAAATGAAGCTAAACAATTTGTTCATTCCTCTAAACATACAGCAGAGTAGTAGAGTACTAGATAGATTAAATTCCGAGTTCAGAAAATCCATTAATATAGACTGTGTATGAACCATCTCAGAAAAACTGCAGAGCAAAAATTGAACATTTTTTTTATAAATTCTGTAGCCAAAGAAAGTAATGCTTATTGAAGTAATTGAAAATGAAGAGCCATATATATTCAGTTCTTGAGAGGTATCAAAAATAAAGTTTGTTTAAGCTTTTGAGTTAATGCCATAAGTGCATTGCATCTATTAATTTATGCATTTTAGACATTATTTTGATTTTTTGAGAGATGGTCATTAATGTTTAGTAGGATCAATTTGCCTTCAAAATAATATGGTATAGATGGAATAGATAGAAACATAGAGCTATAAAAATATATTATTCCATGAATAAGTGAATGAAAACAAAAGTATCATAAAAAATCAAGTGGCAGGATTTGCATATAGTAATCAAGAATTCCTTTTCCTTTATAAAATCTTGAACTTAGACCTTTGAAAGGTGGGTGATACTGTGAGGAAAATTATAGTCTATAGACTTTTGGATTCTACTGTCACATTTTAAAAACAAGATTTCAGCAGTGGCCTGTCATCTGCCTTCAGAAATTTTTGTTAACGTTAATCTATAAATAATGACAGAACAGGATGGAATGTACTTTTGTTCCTTAATATACGTAACATCTAACATTTGAGTGAGAGTTTTCTGTGATCTGCTTTTTAAGTCCACTTGTATTTTAAAAATTTTAAGTGCAGTTATATTGTTCAAATTCTGGTAGTGTAATCTTCAATATTAATGGATCATTCTGACATAAATAGAATTGGAATTGAAACATGTCAAGTATTCATTTGTCACATTTAATTGAAATCTAGATAATCTGCAGTATTTAGCTTGATTAGGTTTTAATCACAGTTTGTACTGGATTTTCATACGGATTTTCCATGGAAACAGCACTTTGAAAGCTATCTTAATTTCCAATTGTTATTACTTCAGATATTTACCATTTAATTTCAGTTAGTGTGAAAAAATGCAGTTATAAATAATAGCTCTGAATTTACTTTCATTTTAAAGTTTGAAATGATAATTTTCAGCACAATAACAAAAATTCTCTGTTATATTTGATATACTTTTGTACAACCCGAAAAGACTAAGGAAAACAAGTCATTTTTGTAGTTATGGCCAAGGTAAGGAAGTAGAGTCCACAGTCAAAGTAAATATGAAATTCAGCTGGTTGTTGGTTCTCAGGTCAGAAAAGATAAAATGTAAGAATGAATCAACAGGGAAAGGGGTTTGGTTCTGTTAAAATAAGCTGTACAGTATATGATCAGCCTACATGACTGTCAGATGTAGACTGAAGTTTTGTACTGATTATTAGCCGTGGTGTCAGATGCAGAAGGAAAAAAAAAAAAACAGAAGAAAAAAGAAAAGTTAGCAGATTGGCTGTGAAAATGCAGCATGAAAAGATCTTTTAATTAGTAAAATGTGCAGAACCAGAAGTAACTTCTGAGTTAATTTATCCCTTGCCCTTGGAGCTTTCCTTACAAGGAAATTCTACTCATATGTGCAGCCGCCTTCTCTAATTTGATGTTAGAATGACACTTTCTTAATTTAAATTGCACAATGATTTTCTTGAGAACATTTTTACTACATTTTTATTTGTATATCAAGGGTAAAGAAATTACCATGTCAGATGAGTTTCCTATCTTTTAGTCTTGGACTTCTTTTTCTGGCAGTAGCTAGTAATGTATCTCAGAGGAAGGTAAAAAAGTCCTATGGCAAATACTTACAGAATTAGCTTAGCTCCTAACTCTAACAATTAATAGTCAGCATGTACTCTAAATTGTGATTTATCATAAGGCATTAACCCTGAGCAAGTTACTGGCCTCAAGGATATCTTTTGACAGTGACTTCCTTTTAAGACTATCAAAAACTGTGGTGGTTTTATTGTTTATTTGCTTTTTAGACTTTTTCCTCCCTTTTTAAACAGTTTTAGCTTCATTTCCTTTCAGTTTTAGTCACTATTGCTTTTTAGCATTATGAGAAAAAGCATGGAAATATTCTATTTTACCTTTTACTTACTGTGGATTATTACATTTCCTTATCATTTATCTTTCTTTTTTTTTTTGGACTATATGTTTGTTCCTAGGCTTTTCAGTCTTTGATCATATATGTAGCTGTTAATTTTTTCTTTCCTTGAACTTATACTGTTTCTTCTGATGTATGGATAGCAAAAGATGAATATTCACCATTTGAGAATAGACAATACAGCCTATTCGTATGAATTCCTATCTGATTAATTACACACACAGTTTCTAAGCAGAGCTTTTCATTATTCTGTTTCTAGTAATGCCTACTCACCTAGCTCTGTTAGGTCTCATATTTTTTACAGCCGTCTTAGAAATATTTCAATATATTCCAGCTTTTCTGATGTCTGTGCACTTACTATTTATTTATACATGTAGTGACCTAATCAGTTTGATTTTTTGTTTAATTTAGCTGGAATATTTATAGCAATGAAGCTGCAGTTCCACTGGGACTGTAGATTACAGCTCCCATGTTCTTCCCTGGAGATTTGCTTCCATGCTGTCACAATTAGACTGTTTTCCACACCTGAGATACCCACTTTCAAGTTAGCACTGGTATTTCTACATGAACATATCTTTGTTCATGCAACACAGTCAGCCCATATTTCATTATCAGATATGTAAGGCTTGGAGAACAGCAGCCATCTCTCTGTGAAGGAAGGAAAATAAGGGAATGGTTTACAGCTGCCATTTTTACAGGGGGAAATGGAATCAAATAAATATTAAGTGAAGTGATTTATGTTTGAAGTTACATAGGAAGTAAGGGGCAGAGCTTGAAAAAGAGCTTAGAATTTTTATGATTCAGTTAATTGACTTCTGAAAAGAAATCAGTAGATAAATGACATTCCACCTGACACATGAAGAACTAAAAGTCAAAAAAGAGAAGTGCATTATTTAGGTCTATCCATATAGTCTGACAATATCTTATGTTTTCATGACAATTTCAGAGTTAGACTGTAAGTGTCAAAGTTCTAGTGTCAGTTTAGACAAGAGATTCATGGTATGCGAGATAAAGACTTGAAAAACGTGAAAAGAATTTTGATGACTAATAGATGTAATTAATTTTATTTATAAGAACAATTTACGACTTTTATTATGAGATAGAGTATTAGTCTTTCTCTGGATCGAAGTGTTACTAAAATGAAAAAAAATCCTATCAATTTACAGAATCCCTTTTCCTTTAGCTTTTTATACTGCAAATAACAATGCAGGGTAATTCCAGAGTAGGTTAATGTTCTTGAAGAGTTAAACAACATTGTTATAAACATTGCAAACCAGACATTCATTGACTTGTTCCTTAGAATTACTGTATATTTGTACTTTCTATTGTTTTCAGATGTCTGTTCTCTTGAATTCAGGCCCTAAATGGCATTGCTGCCCTAAAAATGTAATATTTACATGCTACTATTTTTTTTTTTG